CCCCCCCACTGTCCCCTCCTCTAAAACATTTCTGCCTGCAGCTAACAGCTGATACAACTGGAGCCTGAGTTTCTGAGCGATGAAAATTGTTCCCATTGTGTAGAAAACATCGACTCGTCCGTCTCTGAAATCAAGCGGTCCATACAAAATGAAGAATAATGTGTTTTTACACCTGACTGTATTAGATTGTTAATAATAAGCAGAAGAATGGACTTTTTTTCTTTTTTCAGCAGAAGCAGACTTCTCTGTGAAATCTAATGTCTAGGCTGGACAAAATGGGTTGCTAAACTAGAATTTTATGTTCATCTAGTTCAAATATTCACTGCCTTTTGAGTCGACATGTTGCATGTTTTTCCTCTTTTTTTTTGTGAAGTAGAATTAAATAGATATGTCTTTTGAACATGCTGTAGTTGTAATYGTCTATTATGAAAAGATGTAACCTGAACTTTATGCATTTGTCAAATATATGTACAACCTGCTCCTGACCTTTATAACAAATAATCCAATCCTTTAACGTTGTTCTGTTTGTATGAGAAGTTTTATCTATCCATCCACAACTAATGTTTTTTTATCGTTTTTAAGACCAAAAAGTGATGCAGTTAGGAACAGACCTCTTGAGCTGCATTCAGATAACATCTTTAAAACTGACTTCCAATCAGGGATTCTATACCGGACAGTTCGRTTTGAATAAAACATAAAAGGACGAGATCCATTCGAGCTGTAGCAATAAATTACTTCTCACCTCACTGACTTGACAGTTTTCTGTTTTTTCAGCCTGAAGAACAAATTATTCTAAATGCAGCAGGTGTAATTTCTTTTCAAATATACTGACATTAGGGCCTGTGTTCTTATATGAACCTAACATGGATTCAATTACAGATCTGATGGATTCATGTTTGTGCCCACATGAAAAAAAGGGAGAGAAAAATAATGACGGGCTTTTGGTGGACAAAGGCAGCCCCCCCCCCCCCCACACACACACACACACACACACACACACACACACAGCGCACAGATTGAGTGGAACTCAAAAGGTCCCCTAAGCTGTAAAGGCGATGAGAGTGATTTGTTTTCTATTCTCTGATGGGTGCACTTCAGTCGATTCTGGTGAAAATGCATCCTTGTTCTCCCCCAACACTGCCGCCATCATCGCTGCTAAATGATGCCAAATCATTCTCTCTTTCTCTCTTTATGCCTCCTTTTATCTTTTTCTAGGGRTGGCTGTTTGTCTCGGTGCCTCGAGCCACCATTTTGGAGGCTATAGGTTTTTTTGCACTGGCAAGTGAAAGTGGAGACTTTACAATTTTGTAAGCAGAAGAGATGAAACCTAGGGTTATACCTGGAACCAACATTTTTTTTACTTTGCTTTATCTAATTTCCTAAAAAATGAGAGGAAAAAAGTCATCTAACCAGGCGAGAGTGGCAACTTATAATAATCAGTCTTCTTTAGACCTGGTCTAATTGATAACCTTGAGATCTAAACAGCGTCTCTTCAGTGAAAATTTGCTCACTTTCAGCTGCTTTAGCAACTGATTTTGACTTCAGGTTTTTAGCTGAGTGTGACCATGAATGAGAGCATTTTGATTTACATGAGAATAAAGAATGCTTGTTAGTAAGTTCTGTTTTGTTTTTATCAAATTGATGTGTTTTTCTGTGAGGCACAGTATAAAACAAGCCCATTGTAATGTACTTTTATATTTGTATAACACCGGAAGTATAGTACCAGTTGTTAGAATTGTTGGTCTTAGATTTTAATGTATTCAACTGTAGGTATTTAATGCTTAAAATAAAGGTTATGCTACACCATGATTGTGTGCTGGGGAGTTGGTGAGACTTAAAGCCCCACATCCGGTGTGCAGACTCTGGTTCCAAAAACCTCCAACATGGCAGAGCTCATAAAAGGAATCTCCATCCATCCATCCATCCATCCATCCATCCATCCATCCATCCATCCATCCATCCATCCATCCATCCATCCATCCATCCATCCATCCATCCATCCACATAAATGCTGCAACTGAGTTTTGCATCTGTGACCTTGTTGCTGTAAGATGACAGCTCCCACTACTTTTCCATTATGCATCGATACAGATATTATCATTATATATTTTACTGTTATTATAACATAATATAATAACATTAATAAGAGCCATAATGAATCCTATTAGATTGTTCTTAAAACAATAATCATCTTTGATCTCTGACTGCCCATTAGCTTGACTGAGCTATCTCRTGCAGGTAAGACAATGACTGCTCATAATTTTTAAACAGAACATGTCTTAAAAAGTCTGAACTATTCCTTTATTTTGCCTTGTTTTACCGAATATGTGAGGCTTCCAGACTCATTGTTTTTGAWTCATAGCCTTGGGTTGATCCTCTGAACGTCTGAGAGCTCCCACARCTCATTTGTTGTCAGCTTCATTGGAATTTAGTGTTTTGTTCAGCAACTTTACCTGCAGACACCACCACACACACACAAACTCTTAACACAAGCCAAGCTATTGATCACAGCCAGAAGGAGCAATTCCATTTTGTGTGCGTTTGCTGAGGAGTTATCAGATTTTTTTAAGAGCTGGGGAAAAAGGGATATTTTCATCAAAATTCAATTGCCCATGTTCTCGAGAGGTTATCAAAGGTGTCAGGAGTATCATACCGTGCAAATGGCATGATGCCTTAAATGGTAAATGGTCTGAACTTAAAGGGAACTTTTTTACGTGGACATGGTTCTGCYCAGTATTCCTCATTTAACACAGTCCACTATATAAAAGGTTTACACACACGAATTTTCTCTCCACTGATGGCAGAGCTGCCACACAAGGCAACAGCCAGGAGAAAGATCCACCAAAGACATTTAGGGATTATTTGCAGCCAACCTAATACGTTGATGCTTTCTGAGAAAATAAGAACCTAATGAGCATAAAAGCCCTTAATGGATGATGAATCCAGCATTCTTTCCAGGAAAAACGAAAAACCACTCCACATCATCCATCTTACTGAAAAGGAATTTCCAGCAGAAAAAAAAACATTCAATTTAACCTAAAAAAACTTGGTTAGGTTTAGAAATCTAAAGCTACTTTAAAATCAAAATCCCATTCGCATTACAATTAACTATTAATTAAACTAGAATAAACTTGTTCACAAACCATTACTATGTGTTGATATGTGGCAGAGATACTGTGGATTWCAGTAGTGATCCTCATAGTATTAAACAATTAGTCATGGCCCTGGAGGTTTTCATAGTAAAGTAGAYGAATTAAACTTTGCATCACATTTCAAATGCATTTTACAGTAACTTCAAGTTTCCAGCAGTTTGTAAATTAAGACAYCTTTATATGATCAATAATTTGTACCACAATGGAAAACATACAGTATATCGGTTGAGGATACGTTTAGACACCAGCTTCCTGCAACCAATAAAGGAGAGGTGGGTAAAGAAAATTAATGGATGGATAAAAAAAGTTGAAATTAAACTCCATTAAATTCAAATCAAATCTAATGGGATGCAGGAGGAAGYAACAGACTTAGCTTGCCTTTAGGATTCTTCAAGATGTGAACTGAAGAAGTCAGGGATGAAACAAAGATGCCTTCTCTTCATCCTGAACTGCTGTAACAGAGAATGAAGCTATATCCAACTGATTTAACTGTGGAAAGAACTGTTTTGTTTTTGTGTTTACACAGTAATGTTCTGTTCTGTCGCTTTTGTAACTTTTTGTCCAGGGGACGAAAAGGAAACTGCTGTGACAAAGTTAGCAACTACGATAAAGTTTGGAAGGTTGAAAGTTCTCTCCTATTTCAAAACGAACACTAAATCAAACTTTTCTGAAAAGGGAATAGAGATGGGACGAATGGGTCTTTGAGGGGAGCTGGATCTTAATTATCCGTTTGTTAAAGAGAAATTCAATACAGATGTTAAATTTTGAACAAATTACGTCATTATGTGGGAAGATACATCATCACATATGTGGAACCCCCTCCGCTTTCCCCCTGAGCTGCTGTACTCCACCACTCTGCCTGTCAAAAAGTAAAGGAGGACTGACTGTCTCTGTAGTTAAGAAGGAAGTATAAAGATATTACAAGGAGTACAAAAATAATAAAACCAAAAACAGCTCTACATAGTCTGCAACTTGTATGGAGCCATTCAAATAATTTGGATCTTTACTTCACTAGAAGGGAAAGACTTGCACTAACATGGACAAAATACTGTGATTAAAAAAGGGGGAAAGAATGTAAACAAAGATCATGTGATTTTGAGTTGATATCAGTTAATATTGTTTTGTGTTTTGTAAACATTGCTTTATTTGCATATGAAAGCACTTCTACACTTTTCTTTGCATTAGAGTAAAACTAATCTTTCTGAGAAAGTGTTTGACTAACGCACAACTTATATTTCTGTTGTATGGTAATACGTTAAAGTGTACATATAACAGAACCRGACACTACTTMTACTTTAACTAAAGAATTAAAAGGYATGTGTTATTAAATTGAATCATATCAAATTTGACTTGCAGAAAGACAGTAAAGGGATTAATTAGATGTAATTCCTGAATTTTCTTTAGGCAAAAAATCTGAGCTCTTAAGCTGGGAGTTCACACATTAAGCCTATCTTTAATATTTAGTTACAACAAATATGTTTTTATAAAATTCTGCAATTTTTGTACATCATTGCAAGAAAAGAGTGGAGTTTGGGCCCATCCCAACTTCTGAATGGTCTGCAGTAAACAATCTCAGGGTCTTTATTTATCTTGAAATTAACACAAACAGAAAGACAATAAAAATCMTGTTTGCTCTGGAAATGGTTCGATGTAACACGATCACAAGTTCTGATTGAACTTTCCTCATCACTTGTTGGCTGCAGAGGCAATGA